GAGTTCCGCCATCTCGCACGGCAAGGGTACCAGGCCCGGTTTCTTCCGACCTTATATGGGTCCATCCTGCCATCCCTCCCCCTTAAGCTGACTCGGTGCTTGCCGACCCATCAAGAACCCTTCACCTTCGCCATGATTCTCCCCGACTCCTGTGCCTGCCCATTCTTTTCTCATAAGCTACCACACTCACTCTCGCCATGTGTACCGCCTGCCTAAACCAGCAGCTGGAACTCCTCACGAGGGCAACAGAAGGCAGAGGAAGAGCTATTAACTAAAAAAGCTGAAGCCAGGCCGTTGGAGGAGCCTTCCTCCCACTTCCATAGACTGCCTCAGATCACAGCCTCTCCTGCCAGCTTCCTCCCCTAGCTCACCCGGCAGGTCTAGCCCCTGCCCAATGCCAGCATCCTCAGCCCCCAGCCTTCCCTGCCCGTGCCACTCTCCAAGCCCACCTTCCCCACAGACCCTTTTCTACAGACTCCAGATAACAACAAACTAAACATGTGCTTTAGGTCGTGACGAGGCTATCCCAGCTACCAATCTCCCATACCTTGTGAACACGAACCATTGCAAAAGTTGTCAATGCCTCGTCCCCCCACACCTCCTCAGGCAGAGGGCGGTGACCTGCTGTCCAGGACGAGCCCGGGAGGGGGAAGAGTGCTGCCGAGCGGGCGGGACAACTTCCAAGTCACACAACACATGCTTTCCCAGGCGTCACGGCCGCCGACCCCCGCGCCAGCTACCGAGGCACGCTTCCTCGTGTGCCCATCTTCCAGCGAACACTGTTGACCCCGTTTCCAAGCTGCCATGAAGTGTCAGAATTTTGGAACCAAATCAAATGGTGGCCTGGTTCCAAAGGCATCCACAGGCTCGTGGAGAAAGCATGTATTTTCAGAAGCAATTCAATACAGATGTGTGTGTACATAATACTGACACATCTTGCACACACAGACACACGGCATGAAGAGACAGAGAAATCAAGGGAGCAGAGTTCGCCACGAGAAAAAGACAAAAGGAAATCGTGCACTTCTGAGAGCCAGAAAGGGGACCTTGACCGGCACCAGGCCTCGGAGTGGGCAGTAATGACGGCCACTGCATTCTTACTGCCATGTGCCTCACACAAGGCCAAGTGCTTCCGAAGTGCAACCTGACAACACGACAACATGTGCAAGGCAGCCAGCTGTTCCCACCCTACACATAGGACACTAAAGTACTGAAGGGCTGGCTGACTCCTTTGTCCTCGCACAAATTCTCACCATGTGCGATACACAACACGCACAAGAATGGGAGGGAAGACAAGGGAAGGCTCTGCTCCAGGCCGCAGTGCTTCCAAGGGGCCAGCACGGGGCCAGCACAGAGACAGCACGGGGCCAGCACAGGGCCAGCACGGGGCCAGCACGGGGCCAGCACAGAGACAGCACGGGGCCAGCACAGAGACAGCACGGGGCCAGCACAGAGACAGCACGGGGCCAGCACGGGGCCAGCACGGGGCCAGCACAGGGCCAGCACAGGGCCAGCACGGAACCAGCACAGGGCCAGCACGGAGCCAGCACAGGGCTAGCACGGAGCCAGCACAGGGCCAGCACGGGGCCAGCACAGAGACAGCACGGGACCAGCACGGGGCCAGCACGGAGCCAGCACAGGGCCAGCATGGAGCCAGCACAGGGCCAGCATGGAGCCAGCACAGGGCTAGCACGAGGCCAGCACGCCCACAGCCCAGGAGGCCAGCACGGGGCCCACGGGGTCCACGGGGCCAGCACACCCATAGCCCATGGGGCCAGTACGCCCACAGCCCAGCAGGCCAACACGGGGCCCACAGGGCCAGCACACCCACAGCCCACAACCCACAGCCCACGGGGCCAGCACGCCCACAGCCCTCAGCCTCCCAGGCCTTTTCCTCACCAGCCTCGACTCTCCTAAGGCTACAGGCAAGACCGTCAGAGCTCCTAGGTAACTAAATCAGGCACAGTCACAAAACTCTCCTCTCAAAACTGCTTTCCAAACCAAAGGAGAGTCTGACAAATGCTAGAGGGCACGAAGGCTGAACCTCCAGCTGGGAGTCTGAGCAAGTTATCTCCTTGCTCTCTCTCTCTCTCTCTCTCTCGGACTCAGTACCTTCACCTGTGAAATGGGCTGTTTAGCACAGTATCAGTTACACATTCAAGAGACTCCCCACCTTGCAGCGACAACCATTATGTTACTCTTGTTAGAAGTCGGCTCTGACCTTGGCCTGCTGATAACCAAGTGCTGTCATGCCAGCTCCTCCACCCCTTAGCCTGTGGCCCACCCCTCAGCTGGCATTCTACGCTGGATGAATTCTGTCTGCTGTCCTTCTCTACAATTGTCTGTATTACAAAGAAAAACAAACAAAACTTGTCTTTCCCAGACAAGCCCACAGCCCTGGAAATGCTTGCGGAAGGGCGTGGCACAGCCTCGGGCTTCCTGAACACTGCCAGGCTCCTCCGGGCACAGGTGGCTCTCTCTCAGGCAGTGAAGAGGGGTGGCCTGCTGCAGGCTTGGGTTGGGAGCCCGCGGACATGGGGCTAGCTCTGCCTCGGCTCCTCTGCCATCGGGATTGCACTGCGTGCCCCTTGCCTTGGACAGGACACGGCCTTCGTCCCTAGGGGCTCCACGCCTGCACAGAACAATTGCCTGTGAGGTGGTCATTCCAATTTCTCCTGGAAGTGCTCGGCCCCGATAGAGGAGGGAGAAGGGGAGGGGTCCTGCTGCCTGCCTGGGGACTAGGCTCCCACTGAAAGTGCAGGACTGTGAAACCAAAGCACAGTTGTCAGGGATTAGCCGCCCGACTCCCTGCAGCCAGCAGTCAGCCGCACAAAGGCAGGACAAGCTGTGTGCCGTGGACGCAGCATCTGACAGGAGCCAGGGTCGGGAGTGCGGCTTCCACACAGCTGTCGCGAGGGAGCGGCCCGCCGCCAGGCAGCTGCACGCCCACTCCACAGGGGAACGCAGAACGCAGAACGCTGGACAAAGAAAGCAGGTCTGTCTCAGGCTTCCTCACTTGTCTTCCCAAGTTTTATCTCCTTGAGCCACGCGAGCCTTGAGAAGGGCCAATCCCGCGGCCAGGTGCATTGTCCAGGAAGCCTGCAGCCACGTCACCTCGAGCGTGCTTCTCACGTTAGGTGGTGTGGAAACACGACACGCAGGTGCAGGGTGATGAGCAAAGTCTGTACTGTCAACACCAAGTACCATGTCATCATGAACATCTCTGCTGAGATCAAACACCACACATTAGTCTTTTTAAAATGCAACAAATGTGCTCTCTGCAGCCCCCCAGTGGCACGAAGGGGGAAGCAGCCAGACAGAAGGCTGCACTAGGGGACTCTGCCTTGCAGGTCAATCAACTTTACCTTGGGAAGGCAAACAGCACCACACAGCTGCGTTCGAAGTAGGGCTGCGGACAGTGTGCCTATGTGTGCACACACAGTGTGTGTGCGCGCGTGTGTGCCCCATCTGCTGTCTGTCCCTGCCTCTCTTAAGCAGCCTGCGTGCTGACCTGAGGCCCATCAAGACATCAGACACACCAGGTCCTCCTCCAGCCGGCCCCGCCCTGCCCTTCACTTCCTGGGAGCTCCCTCTCCCCTGCTGGCATCTGTTTACAAACACACCAACCAGAAAAGTGCCAGCAAGCCTTGCAGGGCAATGCAAGGCACGTGTGTAGTCTGAGCTGGAGGATCAGAGGCTTGCAAGCGCAAGAGCCCCTCCGAGTCACCTCCTCCGTCAGCCATTGCAACCAACCAACCAACCACACTGGGAATATAAAAGATCTTAAACACAAATAGAGGGCCTGCTTGTTAAATTTTTTTAATGTGCAGAGAGGGTGAGGGCGAGGCAATTATCACAGAAGCTCCCCTCTTGGCCCCCAGGTCACCGGAAAGGCTTCGCACGACCCAGACAAGGCCAGGCGGCTGCCGGGCTGCCCCTCCCTCCAAGGGTCATTGGAAGGTCCCGGAGCCCCAGTGCGCTGCGCTGGACTTCAAAACCAGTGTCCAAATCAGGTCTCTCTAATTCTCATTTTCCACACATGAACCCCTCTACCCCTCGATGGCCGATTTCGGGACTGTGTGCCCCCCACCCACCACCACCACCCAGTCCCGAGACCCGCGTTCGGTGGTCCCTTTGGCTTCAGCCCCCAAACCTTCCTAAGCCCTCCTCTGTCAAGAGATTGATCAACAAGTTTGTCCCGAGCACGCGCTCCAGCCCGCATCCGCCGTGACCTCCCCTGCGCCCCAGCCGCGCTCCCCTCCCCTGCCCCGAGCTCCAGCAGCCCTCCGGCGCCCGAGAGCCAGCACTTCTGCCCGCGTTCTCCACAGCCGTCCGGGGCTCGCCAGGTCCAGGCTCGCCGGGCTGCGCCTTCTAGGCCCCAGCTGCCCGGGCGGGAGAGGCGGGAAGGTGGAGAGCAGGCTCGCGGCGGGCGGGCGGGGGGCGCGCGACGGCCCCCCAGGAACCGGGCCGGGCGGAGAGGCTGCTGAGCCCCAGCGCGCACTTGGTCCCGGAGGGCGCGCCTTCCCAAGGGAGCCCGGAGCCGGCGCCGGGAGCCTGGGGCGCGCCGGCTTTCTGAGACGCTCAACCCGCAAGTTTCCACTCCATCCCGACGTGACAGACGCCCGGCCGGCCCGGCGCCCTCCGCGAACCGCACTCGGCCGGCCTGACCCTCCCCCAGAGCCGGGCAGCAGTGGGACCTGCTTCAGCTCCCCGCGCCCGCGCCAGCCGTCCCCGGCCCAGAGCCCGCGACTCACTCACGGGCTGCCGCCGGGCAGGCAGCCCCCAAACTTGTCCGGACGCCCCAGGCCTCGCCTTCGCCGGGACCCCGCGGCCCCGCCCTGAGGCTGGGCCGGCGGCCGCGCACGGAGCCGCGGTGCCGCACGGCGCCCGGGAGCCAGGGCGCACGGAGCCCGAGAAGCCGCGGCGAGGCAGGATGGGCACCTCCTCCGGCGCCTGCCCGGGGCCCCCGCGCGAGCAGAGGAAACTTCCCCAGCACCCACCTTTAGCCGCGAGCAGGCGGCGCCGCCGGCTGTCCGCGCCGCCGCTGCCCACGCCCAGCGCCAGCAGGAGCGGCACCCAGCACAGCCGCCCCGGCAGCATCCTCGCCGCCGCCGCCCGGTGCCCGGAGCCGCCCGGTGCCGCCGCCCGGTGCCCGCGTCGCCGCTCCCGGAGCCGCCCGGAGCCGCCGCCCGGAGCCCGGTGCCGCCCGGAGCCCGGTGCCGCCCGGCGCCGCCCTCGGCCTCCGCTGCCCTTGGCCGCGCCGCGCGCTCGCCGGCAGCAGCCGCGCTCACTGGCGCGGACCCCGAGCGGCTCCGGCGCTCACCCCGGGACGGCCCGTGACGTCACGGGGAGGGAGGCGGTCGTGCATATTCATGAGACGCGGGCGCTGGACGCGCGGCCCTGCGGCCCCGAGCCCCCCTCCGCTCGCCACGCGCGGCCGGGCGCTCCCCAGGCCCACTCGCCTCCCGCAGGGCCCGGCTCCCCGAGGACCCTGCCGACGGCTCCCGGAACGCCCCCGGGCCGGCGCCAGTGCGCCCCGCCCTAGCCACAAACAGCTGCTCCCTCAGAAAGTGGTCACCGCGAGCTGGGGCGCAGGGGACCTGCCCTGCCGGGCCCTTTCACAGGACGGGAGCGGAGGCTCGAGCCGGCGTGGGTGCCTGCGCTGCCCCGGGCCGGGTCTCTGCGCGCTCTGTGCCGCCTGGTCTGGGGAGGGCGCCCGGCGCACGCGAGAGCGGCTCTGCCAGGAATGGGCAGCCCGGGTGGGCAGCCTGGGAGCACGCTTGGGTGCTGCGCCTGCGGGGCTGCAGCGCGGTGCGCCCTGTGCTGTCACTCCGCTTGATGAGGACCCTGGGCTCTGCTTTGTAACATCTCACTTGGTGGAACAGTGGCAGTTCCCTGAGGGCAGGACTCAGCACATTTTGGCGTCTCCCACCACCCCAGGGCAGGAGGAGGCCATACGTGGCCTCAAAAAGATGAACCGGTGGCTTAGAATAAAGAAATGCATATAATATGTATATATGCACGATAGTATTTGCATACATGGATATATGCCATGCATGCCGATGTCACACACAGTTCAGGGCTCTGAGCAGACAGGTCGTTTGAAATTAAGGTGGATGTTCACATAGAAACACGTTTATTAATGTGTTCATGGGCTCAAGCCACGTACTGACCACCTGCGGGGGTGAGCACGCGGTTGGAGGTGCAAGCGTGGAGGGGAATGGGAACGGTGGGTTCCACCCCGAAGCCGTTGTTCCCAGCCAGGGAAGTGAGAGAGAGCGGCCATTAGGGTCCATGGGAAGTGCCCGGCTGCACACTGTGCTGTTACATGAGAGCCTAGGCAAACCAATTAATAAAATGTGTATATTACCGCCGTGTCTAAACAGCATCCTATAATTAATAACTGCAGCTTGGGGTACTCAACAAAGCCATGAAATGCATTACCAGTCCTTGGGCTGCTCAGCCGCCCTGCACCGCCCAGAGCCAGAGCTGCAGCAGTTGTAAGAGGTGGCTCTTGGGCAGCTCAGGCACCCTGAAGTGCTTGCGGAGAGACATAGGTTGTGGTGGCTGCAGGGGGCTCAGACCAGATGGGGCTGTCCACCTGTAGGCTTCCTCCAACCGCAGGCCAGGTCAGAGAGCTGACTTGTGCCCCAGGCCAACACCCTACCTTTTACTGTCTCAGCTTCTGGTATCAAGCTCCAAAAAGGCTGATATGAAGAGATTTGGGAAAGCTAGCAAATCAAGGAGAAATGAAAATTCATCCTGTTTTCTTCCACTTATGCACCATACAATTCCATCGATCTTTAATAATTAGGACCTGCTTTGTCCTAAGGGTTTGAAGACAAATTGATTGATCCCAGACATTTCAGATCAAAGTATGGGAAAAGGAAAGACAGATAACCAATTAGAAAGCATCTCTAAGTGAGACTTCCAGAGGAAAGGGTTCCGCAGGGAGACACCAGGAAGTGATGTGGTGACCAGGAGGCTAACCTGTGTCTCCTTTATAAAGAGCGGGAAGCCATGGCTGCTGTGGTACACCAAGTTCCCTGATGGCCCTCCCCATGCAAGCTTCATCACAGGCTTTGCATGGTCTCCAGGACGGTCACCTCTTCCTTGCCTGGACACTGCCACCACCGTCAGAGCAAGCCCAGGCAAAGCTGCATTGCTGCAGGAGCACATGGAACAGAGCCGAGCTGTGTCAGGCCACAAAGCCAGGCTGGGCAGTCCTGGTGACCCCCAAAGCTGGCCACAAAGCCAGGCTGCGCAGTCCTGTGACCCCAAAGCTGGCCACAAAGCCAGGCTGGGCAGTCCTGGTGACCCCCAAAGCTGGCCACATGCACAAGAGCAAGTCCAAACCTGGCCCACATCACAACGGCCCAGCTGACTCAATAGATATGATAAAGGATTGTCATATTAGCCAGTATATTTTGGGGTAGTTGATTAAGCAGCATTATGCCTAATTCATAAGTTCATTACAGTAAGTAAATGAGAAATATGTGAAACATTCCATATGTTGCATATAGCCAAAGTGCATAAAAATGTAAAACTGAATTCCTATTACGCCACTTCCCCAGTCTTGAAGATGCCAGTCAGACCAAGATTTGAGCCCTGTGGGGACAAGGCAGCAGTGATCTGACACAGAAGGGGTGACGATAAGTCAACTTAGCCTTAGACACACTCCAACTGTGGGGCAGGCGGTTGGGGCGTGGGTTAAGACACCCTCTCTGACGTCTGCCTGCCGTTTGAGTCCTGGCCCCACCCTCTGGTGTGCACCCTGGGTACCGCAGTGATGCCAAAGACTTGGGCTCTCGCCATTCACATGGGACATCTGGATGGAGTTCTGGTCTCCTGCGGCTTGCGATACCCAAACTGGATGTGACCCATCCTACCCCAGTAACTTAGGGCTTTGGGGAGTGAACTAGGAGATGGAAATCCTCTCTCTGACAAATAGTAAACAAAGAAACAATACGTTTAACACAGAAACTCTTGGATCGTAACCCACTATGTTTGCATGGAGCACTGCTGATCTATTGCAGATGTAAAAACGAGTCGAAAAACTCAGTGGCTGATGGCCTGGTTCCTTCCATGCCAGACTGTGCCTTGGGTCCTTGCAACAACAGGTGCTGTCTCCTGCGTTTTTATAATCAGATTACTGACTCAGAAAGTTTGAGCAATGTATCCACAGCCACACCGTCATGCAGAATATCAATTCGAGACTGCCTCATTCTAAATTCCATCTTTGTCCCACTCATCATGGTTCAGGGAGAGACACGTTGGAGAAGTAAGCCTCAAAAAATAGCTTTAAATCAGAGAAAGTGACTTTGGAGTTTTATTTTCTTATCTTTATCATCACCTCTGAATAACGACCTTTTAAATAATAATTGCTACCAAAATAATGTGCTAATGTCTGGATTTGTGGGAGATGTGTTCCTTCTGCTTGAGTTGCTGTAGTAACATGCTCGTAAAGATTCACAAACGAGGACAACATCAGAGCCCCGTCACCGTAAGCGTTCCCGCCGCCACGTGCAGAATCCCACCGACAGTGCAGCAACGATCTCAGGCTATCCATCACTCGGGAGTTTTCAGTAAATAAATAACTGCCCAGGTCCAGAAGACGGACTCCAAGAGCAACTCACCTAAATAGGAAGGTTGAGGGCCCAGCCTGATAGCCTCGTGGTGCAGTGCACATGCTGGGATCCCATATGGGCGCCGGTTCTAATCCCGACAGCCCCACTTCCCATCCAGCTCCCTGCTTGTGGCATGGGAAAGCAGTGGAGGACGGCCCAAAGCCTTGGGACCCTGCACCCGCGCGGGAGACCTGGAAGAGCCTCCTGGCTTCTGGCTTTGGATCAGCTGAGCTCTGGCTGTTGCGGTTGCTTGGGGAGTGAATCAGTAGATGGAAGGTCTTCCTGTCTGTCTCTCCTCCTCTCTGTACATCTGACTTTCCAATAAAAATAAATCTTAAAAAAAGGGAGGTTGAAAAGATTACCTTTCAAGAACCAGAACCATCTCCTCTTCCTTTAGCCTCTCTCCCCGTCCGTGGGGAAGCTGAGTGCCAGGATCCTGAGCAGGGAACACGCTGTCCAACATCGCTGTTGGGAATGTTGATGTCACGGCAGACTCTGCTACTACCACAGCAGCGCCTCCCCCCTTCCTCCCTTCCTTCCTAATTTAAGATTAAGAATTTCTCTTTAGAAAAAAGTGAGAAAAGCTTGTTCACAACCAAATCCAGTTTATGTTCAACATGATTGGGATAGATGTGCTTTATGCTCGGCCAGGCATGGCGCCCGAGCTGAAAACAAAAATGTCATTGACTACAGCTGAGCATTATTCCTAAACATGTTCCCACAGCGGCTTGGCCCTTTATGTCCTGCAGTGTTTTTGTGTGATTGTTTGTTTTTCCATCGCTGTGAGATTCATAACACCACTACTAGAGAGGAAACCTACAGCTCCTCTCCTTGGACGGAGTCTTCTGGCGTTTGAGCCCTGCTTGACTCAGATGTGACCAAGCCAGCAGCCTCGCTGTCCACATAGCTTCTGCTGTGTCTGCTTGGAAGCTCCTGTCTGACTGCCCTCAGACCGCTGCGGGCAGCATCACCAGGCAGGGAAAGCTTCAGGTGGGTGAGGTGACATTTGCGCTTGAATCCATCCATGCCTTGGCCCAGAGCCTTCAGGCTCTTCAGTTGTGGAGTCGCACCCATGCCCCTGCTGCTGATTTTCCCAGCTGAGGTAGTGGACATCACAGGAGAGGTCAACTCATTGCCACCAAGCTTGCCCAAATTCCTGACCTACACAGGACATGAGTGTCATCAAGCGGTCTTTGTGCCACCAAGATCAGAGGTTGTGTTCGAGGTACCAGGATGAGTAGAAGCTTTTACTCTCAGCTGTTCTCCACAGCAAAGCCCAGCAGATAAGTCACGTGTAATTAGTCTGTCTTTGAAACTCAAATTCTGAACCTTGTATTGGCCAACCAAAGAAATTAGTAGAACTTAGTGGAACATGAATAACTTGTAGAATTAGGCAGGCCAAGGATGCAAAGCCAGCTCTACTGTTTCCTGACTGCATGAGTCAAGAAAGCTATTTCCTGGTGGAGCCTCTGTTTT